GGTTCTCCTCCAATCTTGATGATTCTACGATTCTTTGAAATGCAATGCAATGTAATTAAACTAGCAAAGGTTTCCCAACGTAGTCAAGTTATAAAATAACATGTATCTCATTTGTGAAACAAACTATAGAAAGTTAATTTACTTCAAGAGCTGAACAATTAAGAAAGTGAAGATTCCAAAATAATGATATGCAATAATGCTAATTTTGGTAATTGCCAAAGGTCAAATATAAGCTTTACAGTTACTGTGCTTATAAGAGGTATCAAAAAGAAATCTCCATAATTCTGAATCTGTATGCTGGATCCTTGTCTTCCTGAAAGTCACTATGAAATTCATCTATATCAGGGTTTCATCTATGATCCTGAAGCTGCAACATACCCTGTTATAAATTTCTTCACCAACAGCAGGCTGCTTTTTATTTGACCTCTTGACATCAAGAAACTCCACGAGTGGGCGAATTGTTATTCCCTGTGTGCAGCAAACAAGAACACAATAATTATAAAAGTGAATTCACTCTTTTGATTAGTAGGTGTTGCACTTAGCTATGAAGTCATTGCCAGCACAGATTCCACTAATGCAACAGAAGGAAGGAAGGGGCTCCCTAGAGCTATGAGGTCTGAGAGGATCAACCTAACGAGGACTATCAGTAATATGTCACCTATACCATCCACAGTACTTTTAAACCTTTTTTTTCCCCCAGTTCTGTTATCTGTTAGAAAAACTCTCACTTGTTTTCTGAATTAATAAACAGATTCCCCACAATTTCCAAACAAACAAACAAAACTCTCTTTTTTAGTGATTACTTCCAACACATATACTCAAACATATGTCAACAGCAGTACTAAAGTTGCTATCTAAGTCTGTGACCCTAAGGTTTTTTGTAAATATGTGTCCTTGTCTGATTGTTCTCAGTGAAAGAACAAAAGGTTTTGGCTATCCCAGAACGATATAATGGTTCTGAACAATTATTTGTGGAAAAATGGACATAATTTGTTTATTTTTATAGGCACAGTGGCACAGTGGGAGAGGAATGAATCTCTTGTGATGCTGAGATCAGTCCCTACTGTCCCAGACAACCAGGTCACATTTCTTTTTGTAAATGAATCAAGCTTTATCTTAAAGGTAGTTAGGTTTCTTTGCCCCATTGCTCATAATGGAACACTCATCCTGAACCTTATTGTTCTGAAAATTAGAAAGCTGCTTCTTAATTGCATCATGGTCACTGTGTACCACTTTGTTCCTGTGCCAACATTTGTCTTTTTAGTTTAAACAGTGTTCCTCCTCCTCTGGTGCTCACTCCCTCACATAAACAGTAATTATAGTTCCTCTTCTTTATTTTGCTAAGACCAAGGCATCCTGGTCTCCTTTCACATGACAGTATAGTTCCTCTTCTTTATTTTGCTAAGGCCAAGGCATCCTGGTCTCCTTTCACACGACAAGCTTACCAGTCCCATGATCACTCCAGAACTATTGGAGTGATCACTATTGTCTCATGGAAATGCCTCTCTCAGTATGTCTTCAGATCAGATTTGCCTTCCTTCTGTCCCTGCTGCAGTGCTGACTTAAAATTTACCCCGTTACCAACTAGTACACCTGTGTCTTTGTCCCTTTCTATTTTTTTCCAAATGAAAGGTTTCCATCTCATAAGAGAAATTCCTAGTAAGAAGGCCCTAGCAAGAACACATTTGCCCTTATTATAGTTCAATTTCATACTGTTTCTATCATACTGGCCCCCAGTTATCCTCCTCTTTCTACAAGATACCCTATCTCACTGTCATCAAGAAACATCAGCACCAAAAAAATCCTACATTTACATGCTATGGTCAATAATGAGAATATTAAACAAAATAAAAAAAACCCCAAGGAACCATCCTCGAGGAATTCCATTAATAACATCCCTTCAGCCTATTATTTGGCCAGGGTGGTTGGACACTTGAGCAGATGCCCAGAGAAGCTGGGGTATCTCCATCCATAGAGATATTCAGAACTCTATGTGACATGGCCCTGAGTAACCTGATTTAGCATTGAAAGTGATCTCACTTTGGGCATAAGGTTGGACTAGAGACCCCCAGAGGTCCCTTTTAATCCAAAGGATCATATGCTTCTAATTCCATTTCTAGGAGAAACTGTCAGCTCCTTCCTCATTCACTTTCCAGTCATCCCAACATCAATCTAAACTACAGTTTAATGAGTAGATACACTAACGATCTCCTATGCAGCCCCTCCCCAGAGATTTTACAACAGTCCAGTTAGATGAGATAACTCTAGAAAATAAACTCACAGAATAATCAGAGTTGGAAGGGACCCTTGAGGATCATCTAGTCCAACCCCTGGCCCTGCACAGGACATCCCTGACAATCACACCCTGTGCCTGAGAGCATTGGCCAAACACCTCTGGAGCTCTGTCAGCCTTGGGGCTGTGCCCACTGCCCTGGGAGCTGTTCAGTGCCCAAACACCTCTGGGGGAAGAACCATTTTCTAAGCTCCAGCCTAAACCTCCCATGGCACAACTTTAGACCATTTCCTTGGGTTCTGTCACCAGTTGCCAGAGAGAAGAGGTCAGTGCTGCCCCTACAAGTTTTGATAATTGCCTTACCAAAGAATGATACCAGGTTTTCCTTTGGTAAACCATGTTGCATTTCATAACACATTCCATTTGCTTCCATATTTTTAGTTATTCTGTTCTTCAAAATCAGTTTTCACAGCTAAATTCAACTAACTGACCTTGACCTATTCCCCTTTCCCTAGCAAGAACACAGATACTTGCTACTCTCCATAGCACTTTTTCTATGTGAAAGGCAGGGTGAAAAAAAGAAATGAATTTTTTCCCACAGAACTGAAATTTCATAAATACCCTCTCACATCTCTCTCTCTCTGCTCTGGATAATGACTGGTCTGGCATGTTAATTTGAGTGGCTTGGCCTCCTCTATATTTTGCAGTTTTCAGTGTCTTTCCTGTCTCTTGGTCACTCTTGATCAGGCCTCCATGGTAGTTACCAGAGGCAAGTTCTTCATGTTCTGCACACCTGATGCTATTGTAGTGATGTCCAGCTGGTTAGCAGCATCACTCCTAACACCCAGACTCCAGTTCACCTATCTGAGCCCTCAGTGTCTTCCTTTCCCTGCCCAGTGTGCACTATATCATCTCCCTGTGAGGACAGGCTGAGGGAGTTGGGGCTGTTCAGCCTTGAGAGGAGAAAACTGTGTGGAGACCTCAGAGCAACTTTTCAATATCTGAAGGGCCTACAAGGAGCCAGAGAGGGACTCTGTGTTAGGAACTGCAAGGATAGGAAAAAGGGTAAGGGATTCTAATTGAAGGAGGGGAAGTTTAGGTTAGATATTAGGAAAGTTTTTCACTGTAAGACTGGTGAGACACTGTCCCAGGGTGCCCAGGGAGGCTGTGGCTGCCCCAACCCTGGCAGTGTTCACAGCCAGGTTGGATGAGCCTTGAGCAACCTGCTCTGGTGGGAGGTGTCCCTGCCCAGGGCAGGGGTTGGAGCTAGATGATCTGTGAGGTCCATTCCAACCCCTAAAATTCCATGATATGATTCTGTGATATGCAACACTGAACTGCTGAGTAAATGCACAAATTTAAACATTCTAGCAAGGAATTAGTGCTGGGGCTGTACCCAGATTATCTTTTATCTCTGCTTCAACCTCACTAGGTCTTAAATACTTAATACTACTTATATGTTAACATAAGTACTTAGTATCTGGACACCATTGTTACCTGCCTGTGGAAGGCAGAGCATTTTTAACTATTACTATAGAGAGTAACTTCAAGTATGTTCCTTCCTATAAGTTAGGACATTTGTTTTTTTACCCATTGCTTATTTACAGCCTGTCTGAGAAAGAAGAAGTCCAGAAGAGGAAAGTTATTACCTGAATAAAAACAGTAAAGAATATCACCACGATAACAGCAGTGATGAACAATTTCTTCCTGGGAAACACAGCAGGAGGAAGCAGAAATACAAGTGAAAAACAAATAGCTCCTCGGAGGCCTCCATAGGCAATAATAAATTGGTCCTTAAAAGTGAGAGGAATTGTCCGGAATACATTAATGACCTGAGTCAGAACAAAAACACCTGAGGGGAAAAAAAAAAAACCAGAAATGCAAGATGGAGGGGAAAAATTGGAACTTAAATTACACAGAAATAGCCCATAATGGTAATATTTGTTTTAAAACACACTTTTATTTTCTTCTTACCTTTTATTTGCTTCTGATTATATATTCTTGAAGAAATTAAATATTACTTGGCAGCTTGAAAACACCAGGGAAGAATAACTTTAAAAGCCTAAGGAGAATCATCTTAAACATATTTAGTGAGTTAACCACCTAAGGTCAGCTGGATTCAGAACCTGAAGCAGCTAATTGATCTCCACAAGACAGTTATCTGCTAGACTTTGCACCTCTAGAACAGCAATAATTCTCTGTGTCAGTATAGACCAAGACTCCTAATTGCTTTTTAATAAGATTTGAGGTGCTTTTGAACACTTTGACTTGTCACTTCCATCAATCTGTTCTTTGCACCCTGCAAATTCCTATTCACTCCATTTTCCTTGCAGAGACAGGAAGGATGTGGGATTGGGGATGAAGGGAGAAGATGTCAGTGCATGTTGATATCCCAAAGGCAAAGGTGCCAGGGATGTGGGAGACTGGAGTAAAAGTATAAATGTGGGTGAAGGGAGGATGGGGGAGCTTGGTGGCAGCCAGGCTGCTTGGCTGCTTTCAGCATAAGGTATTAATTGTGGGGTTGCAGGTGTGGGAGGAAAATAGTCCAGATTTCTGCTCTGGAAGGAGACTTGGGAGCTGGAGGTGCAGAGGCAGGTCAGAGCATGAGCCACCTTTACACATGGAGGGATTGAATCACTGCAGATGAAACTGGGGAGAGGAGCAGCTTTATGACCTATGAGTGTGCCCTACACTTAGGTCTCCAGGTGAGAGAAAAGGAGCTAGTACTGTAAACTCAGGTGGGATGAAGCAGTTTCTTATAGGTTTTTTCCTTTGCAATACATACCTGAACACTTCAACTACAGCATTTCCTGGTTTGGTACTATTTATGTCAATGACTGGGAAAATTCCCAAGCTAGTAAACATAAATTTAAAAAAAAACCCAACCAAACCAACAACCTGTTTAATTGCTATAAAATTGCTAATTCTGATTAACAAGCAGACTGCCTCTTACTGTAGATGGGCAGGATCAGGACAAACCTGATTTTTAGGTTCCATTTTGGGGGAAGGTGGAAGCTGATCCTGTGATCAAAGGATATCAAAGAAATACAAAGAAATACAAAGACAAAGATACAAACAAATACAAAGACCATTCTACAAGCTGATTCGACTCGAAGTTTTGGCATTTACTACCCGAAAAGAGGTAAAACATTTCACTTGCAAAGAATACTGGTGAGACTTGCTTACCCAGTGCCCTCCAGATTAAACAGAAGAGGAGGGTGAAGCTAACAAAGGCCCAGTTCCACTCGTGGTTCTTCCCAACTGTAGACACTCCCATGAAGATGAAGATCAAAGTCTCACTGACACTGCTCAGCATCTTCATGAAATACTTTATTGTTGTATAGGATTTTTGAGAAACATTTTCCTCCACGTATTTATTCATTGTCATGGCACAGGCTGTAATCCTGAAAGGCAAACATTATCCCATATTTCATTGGCTGGATTTAATTTTTTTAGCATCATATCTACATAATATTATACACTTTTCCATAGTTTCCTTTAAAATGCAAAGCATAACTCATTCCATAACCAATCACAAATTTATAGGCTTGCTGAACCTACAGTTTTGGGCACAAGAGGTGTTTTTTTCTGCAGTGTGGAGGTTTCTGAGATGAAATCAGTATATGGAGAGTTTTGTCACATACTAAATGTACATGATCTGTGCAGAGGTCACCCAAACTCTGTGTTTTGAAAGAGGAAGAGATGAGGAGAGCCGGGGACAGGCCTGGAAAACAGGACTTGCTGCTCCTATTGCCTCTGAGGGACATAGACAGGATAGCAACTTCATGTCCTGGGGCAGGGCAGGACTTCCCTCCCTCCCTCCCAGCAGTTGTCCCACCCCAGTGGCAGTGATAGTAGGCAGCTCCTCTTTCCAGGCAAAGTAAACAGCAAAGCTACAGGCAATTTGTCATCCTTCACCACTTTAAACCACTGCTTGCTTTGCCTGCACATAGAGCCAAATAGGAGAAAAACCCCAACAGAAATCACTCTGGTGATGTTGCACATGTAAATCATCTACAAATGAATGAAATGGGCATCTCAGTTGATACAGGAGAGCAAAGAATGTATGCCCAAACTTTCTATGTTAGTAAACAGAGGCTGTTAATCAGTAGGAAGAGAAAAGAATGACATTATTGGCTGTACATCACTTGCTCTCTGTGGTTGTCCTTGCTATGGGGATGGCTAAGGACCACTCAGCTACAAATTTGCCAGTTTAAAGGTAGTTAGCAGAGCTGGCTGGAGGATAACCTCAAGGTGGTTTCTCAGTGTAGGAAGGACAGTCTGAATTGCTTAATAATTATCAGGGTGGGCAACTAAGGCAAGAAACATTGTAAAACAACTGTCATTCCTGTAATTCCTACTGTCTAGGGCAAAAAAGTCTTTGTTTTCCCAGTTAAAAACATTATACATAGCCATGTGTGGGTTCTCAGTCAAAACATATACACTAAATCTAAACAGAGATATATATTTACACTGTCTTTCTGAATGCAGCCCATGAGGACCTGTCCTACAGTTATTTATCCCAGTTCCACCAGGTTTTCAGTTTATAATTTGCCAATATAAGGGATATTTCTTCCCACTAAAATCTCTACACTTGCATGTTTCATGGAGGGGCAGGCAGGTTTGTTAGCATTTCTTTGGAAAAACTTGAAGACTCCCATGTTTTGTGGAGATCCCACTGCAGAAAGTCTTCTACTGAGCATCTCGTGCCTCTAAGCCAAGAGCTCCATCTCTGCACCACTCAAACATCTCTGAATGTGAGTGTAAATGGAAAGGCAGATGAGGGGAGAGCTCAGGAAAAAAGCCTCCACTGATATTATGAACACATATGCCTGGGTTCTATCTTCTAAATATGGGATTAAAAACAGTTTTTGCAAAACGGAAGGAGGAATCCCAAAAGCAGCACTAACTTCTACAGGACCTTCATACAGTGAACTTTCTTAGCATTTTGCAAGAGGGTGTCCATAGCAGCAGCTAAGCCTGTAGTCCCTGGCAGACTCTGAACACATTTCTCCTAATTAGTTAAAGTTACTTTGATCCAGAAGTTTCCTTCTCTTACACAGGTCCAGCCACATCCCCAGAGTGGCTGGGCAGGAATACTTCTGATGGACAAATCTGGCAGGACACGTGGGCACTGGAAGAGGACACTGTACTTCACTGACCTCTGAGAAGTTTCAGAGGCTCTGCAGGCACATCAGAGTGAATAAAACCCAAGGAAGAGGATCTGATGTGGGGACAGATGTGGTCCAGTGGGGAAGATAGTGGCTTACAAACACAGGTGGAGAGGGCTTGCTAGCAGAGCAGTGCACATAACTTGGCCTTTAGCCTGAATATTTTTCTACCTCTACTTGGTCATAGAGAGGCACAACTAGTCAGAACAAAATAAAATGTCCATTGCCATGCAAAAAATAGCTCCAACCCTAAGCTAACTCCAAATCTAAGAAGAAGGAAAGCTTGACTAAGACTATTCCAGACCCTCATCTGCATTTAGTACTGACATAATTTTCAGCATTCTCATTGTCAGCTGATTTCACCATGTTCTTAAACAGAAAGATCCTCTGAGGACCACAAGTAGCATGGTGCCATCCTGGTTACATGGGATCCACTGTGGAAGACAGAATACAGATTTGATAAGCTTCCTCCCTGGAACACTCAGTTGAGTTTGAGCAGGTAGTTGGGACAGTAGAGGTCCTACATTTTTGGCAATACTGGCAAACTGACAATGCTCTTCCCAGCTCTCCTCCTTGTTCTGGTCTTACAGTTGCCCAGACTGGGGAATTAAAACAGATCCCACAAACATATGTGCCTGCATATCACAGGAGGAAAGTAGGAGACGACCTGGGCCATGCATGGACTTTGTCCTGACAAGAAGCACTGACTTGGCCAGGACACACACTCTGGCCCAGAGGCTGTCAAACACTCCCAGGTTCCTCAGTTTGCTCATAGCTGTGGTGACCAATCCCAAAAGTATGTGTGCAGATCTCAAATTCACTTAACACTTTGACCCTCCAGAAGTCTCACACTCAGTGGCAAACCAGCTCTTCATGAGCCACACTGACAGACCTACAAATAGCTCAGGTTATGCCATGGGCTGTGATAACTCTCCTGTGTGTACACTGCTTATCTGCACAAGTATAACAAGTCTGATGCATCCCAGCTACTCCAGCTGATGGCACCCACAGTGGAGCTGGCAAGGACAAGGGCAGCAAATGCCAACCAGCAAGAACACATGGGCAGGCTGCAAAACAGCCACTTCCAGACCCACTGGAAGTGTGCAAGGAGTGTACTACTGTTTCAGAGTCTCAAAGCAGCAGCTTAGTGCCCAGAAGCATTAGGGCTGTCAGGTCTGCACCAAAGGCACAACGAAACGCTCAGTACTATTTATTACCTCCTTAAAATAAATGGTTTTCATTATTATAGTAATTCAGGAAAGCCCTGCAGCATGGAGAGTGGGGAAGCATGCTCTGGACGTGGTTTGTTTTTGGATCCTGAGGTAATGGAGACACTGTAAATAGATGTCTGATAAGAATCTGTCACCAGATTAATCAGGATCTTTGCAAGCTGTAACTTAAAACACCTACCAGGCTTGACCACTAGAATTTAAAGGGACAGCACTCTTCAGTCACATTTTGCATTCACTCAATTAGTTTCAGCTAATTAAGGTTCAAAGCTGTAACAAACAGTGCTGTATATTATTTGTTACTCTTCAGGTAAGTAATATTCCACAGCTAATCACTGCTCTCTTTGAATCTAGTATCTCTTCAGAATACTTCTTTACATTAGAAAAAAAAAACCTGTTGAAGTCTCTTTGATTTGAAAATTATATGGGGATATAGCGTTAGAATTTGATAGAAAATCGAAGTCTTTATGCAAGATTTTATCTACATTATAATAATATGTTCTTCACGAACTGAATTTTTGCTGTCATGATAATCAAAGTCAAAGCTTAGGTGTGTGTTATTTTACATTTCTCATCCACATATATTAATTCTGGTTTCCACTTCTGTGACCTGAGATAGTTGCCTTGGTCAAGAAGGGGAAGGGAAAAGCAGTTAATTGCAATTAACCTGCAACAGTCTGTACTTCTGAAGAATAAAGGTCTCCCTGTACAAACAGTGCAGTTTCTGTCAGGACTGCAATAAACTAGGCCACTGGGTTCAAGCCTCAAGTTTCCTTGACCTACTAAATTTACAGTAGTTTCAATGTTTGTTCCTTTCAGCCTGCTAATTGACTGTTGTAAAAAAAAAAAAAGAAAAAAGAAAGAAACCTATATTAATAGCTCTGCTGCCTTCACAGCCTCGATGAGAAATCAGTAAGCAGAAAATTCAGCATTATGATTAGAAATGGAACGGAGCAAATCAAAGTTCAGATTCACAGCTGTGTGTTTTACCATGCCTGGCTCTAGTTACAGTAGATGCTCTTTCCTCTCCTTCTGAAGAGGATTTTCTCACTGCAGCTCACAGGGACATGGTTCAGTCCCTTCACTATTTCAGCCCTATAACCTGGTGCTGGGGTTATACACAGATGCTTCAAGAATCATTTGTCCTCAGGACAAGTACACAGACTTATCAGAAGAGGGACAAGCACCTTTAATTCCCCTCTATTCCTCTGCCAGTGAATTCCTATTTGCCCAGGAATGAGGCAATCTGTGTAAGTATCTTATTTATTTGGAAACACTGTACATTCCTGTTCATGTCCTTCCCCTAAAATATGGTACAGCATGTAACCACAGGGTCTCACTGAATATCTTGATGAACCTGGTTACAAAGGAAGTGGGAATCAGTAGCTTAACAGATTCATGTGGATATGGGTGAAAAAGAGGAGATCAGGCAATTATTTCCCATAGACTGAACTAGAAATGCCCACAGGAGCAAATAATGAACAAACAGTCTGGTTTGTAAGGGACATTCCAAGGTCATTTGGCCCAGCTACATGCTCAGAGAGCTGACTTTTAAGTCAGACCCAAGCAATCCTGCCATGAGTCAGTCGCTGCAGAAAAGGATAGGGAACTCAATACCAGTGTGTGCTGCACTGTGGCACAGAGAAATTACTCTCTGCAGTTCAAAGGCCAATGAAATATGAAAAGCACAGGGTAGATTTACTCCAAGGGGATGCAGAGATTGCAAGAGCTCCAAGGCTCTCAGCAGCACTGCTGGGACAGAACACACTTTATGGCTTATGGCAGCTAAGCCCCTACACAGCTGCAGAGAGCCCTTCTGTCTTTCCTGGTGTGTTACTGATGTACCCAGCTCTGTTAGCTACTATAAAGTATGCTGAGAGTCAAAAACACACAGGACATTTTAAAGACAACTTATTTTCTATTGTGCTGTTCAGGGCAAAAAAAAAAATCCTTTGTGCTTCCTCTTCTGTTTTGCACCCACACAGGGGCCACAGTTACAAAGGAAAATGAATAGGTTGCTAGTGCTGTGGGAAGCACTGGTGTCCTGGTGGCAGGCACTGGCATGTGGTGGGTCCACTGACTCACCAGCAGACCCACTGTGCCCTTTCTGTTGTGTCCTGGATGCAGCAGGTCCAAATCAGTATGTTCATGAACACTGCCACAATTTTCTCCATGTACAGTTTAGCCACACGTTTTTGGTTTAGAAACCCTTTCAAGTATTTGATCATAGGATGTCAAGGGCATTGGCTTAAGAAGTGGAGGAAACTAGAAACCACACAATTGCTATGAATAGAAGCTATGGAAAGAGATGGCACATTTATGAACTCGGTCAAAGTGGATGCACATGTTGCTTTATTTAGGCTCATATCAGAGAATGAAACACATGGAATCTTTAGCTCTTTACTTACATTAGAGGACCAATCCCTCTTGTTTCATGGCATATTTCTATTTTTATATTACTGAAATTATCAGCTGTAAGTTTCCTTTTAAATTGCTTCCCAGACTCAGAAAACCTTATACTGGCATGACTATGATATTAAACCTATCTTTACTTTCCTTAAAGATAATAATCAGATGAAGTATTATCAAGTATTAGGGATACTCAAAAAAGATATGCACCTAATGCCTGAATGACTCATATTTGCCACTAGAACAATACAAAGTCATTAAAGAAGGTTGGCCTTTAAAAATATTATTTGAAACCAGAGCAAACCATTTCAATATATCAAATGTCATAAAGGCTCCTTCTAAAGTTGAGGTTGTTACAGTATAAACAGAATGAAGAGAGAGGCTGTGCTCTCTCTTACTGAAGCCCAGGAGTGAAAAAACAGGAATGCAAATATTTTTATCTGTTGGAATTGAGAAGAATAATATTATTTTATACATAATGATGTATACAGAGAACATTGTAATACACAGGCACACATGTCAAGATACTAAACTGAAGGGTTATATCACCACAGGACTGTAAATTTTACATCCACCCACTCCTCATTGTGTTGGTAATCCAGCACAAGTTTGTCTTAACATATATACATTATCTTCATGAGTGGTCCTCATTCCTCACATGATTGTTAGATGGATTTTCACCATACATTGTCACTGAAAGTGAAGCCAGTTCCTAAAGTTTCCTGCTACCACTGCCACTCCCTCTGTGCCACCACTGCCCCCACATCACTGTGATCCACTCCTCAGCCATGCCCTGATGACCAGTTGTAGGGTCACATGAGGACACAGGTCACTAAACTGATCTGGGTTAAAAATAACCCCACTGAAAAGACAAGTGAATATTTTTAACTTGGAACATTTCAAAGATATGGTTTATGATGTGATGCCATGAGCAGTTTTAGTGACACAGCTGGTGTGGTGGCAAGCTGAGAGGATGGGGTGGATGCAGGAGGGAAGAGGCCGGAAATCCTCAAGCCAACATTGCTGCCATGCACTGTGGAACAATGCCATATGGCAAAGTTTGCAAAATCTGATCCTCTCTGCAATTTCCTTTCGCATTCTTATTTGGGTGCTATGATAACTGAAGTTTGGGGTACTTACGCCATGATGCCCGAGAGATGGAACATTTCAGCTGTTATGTATGACAAGTAACTGTACAGGAAGACAAAGAGTGGCTCAATCACTCGGATTTTATGGGTGAAACGGGTGGTAAAGGCTGCTACAAATCCCAAAAGGATTCCAATCAATACTCCACCGATCCCCACTATAAAGAAGTTAGCAATCCCAGCGAATATGTCAATAACTTTAATTGTGCGCATCTGGCAGAAAGACTTGAACAAATTGTACAGGACCTATGAGGAAAAAGAAAGCACATTATGTTTTTGAATTCTTCTTCATTTCCCTTCATGTCATTATGTTCCTCTGCTTCAATGCTGAACTTTGAATGTCTCTATCATCTGCCTTGAACTGGCTTTTGAGATATGCTGTTGTTTATCTCTGGCATATGATTTGTCATCCATATATAACAAGGAGATACACAAAGAAGGGTAAATAGCATTACTCCTATTTCTGCAAATGGAATGGGTTTCTTAACCCATGCCATTCTGAGGGCCAGGAGCATAGATCTGTCTAATCTGTCTTTAAATTCATTTATTTGCAGAGCTTCTAACTTTTCCACTAATGTCCTGTTCGGATTTTCTACAGATAAATGAAACAAAAAAAAGGAGGAAAAAAGAGAGTGTCATAATCAGTGAAAAAATGAGGTTCTTTTCAAATGTGTTTGATCTATATGACACTGAGAGGTGCAGTACTGAATTAAACCATAGATTCATCTGGCATGGTGGGGTGGGAAGGGGTGTGAGGATGGACAGTGACCACTCCGAAGAGTACAAGAAATACGGTATCCATGGAGTGAGTGCTCCTTCTCTGATTTATTACCATTAGGAATCCAGTGGTTTAAAGACTGTTCAAAATATTATTTCTAGAAGTTTGGATTTAATTCTTAGTAAAAAACCCATTGCCATGTATTTGCCCAGTTAAATTTTCAAAGTGTTTATAACCATCCTCCAGAATGGACTGGGTCAATGGGATGGTCACATTTTCTTAGCCAGACAGCCTTTTGTTTTATGCAGGAAACAGAAAAATCTAAAATCCATATTTCTCCAATATCAAGCATTTTAGTTACTCCAAGAGACAACAATGGAATCAGTTACTCTTAAACAAACCTTCATGGGTTGTCCCATCTGCAGATTTATTGGGGTGATTTCAGCATTCCCTGGTGCTTTATATATGCTTCCAGCCCTGCAATCCCATGATGTCTACATTGTCCCCTGGTACAGATCCTAGTCACAGGCACCTGCTCCTATCACAGTGGGTTCACAGGCTAAGCCACAGTGGTCATAGTAAACACTTGACCACTCATCTTGGACAGCTTGCAGGAGTTAAACCTCCAGTTTCCTTCTGGACTTCTTAGTAAACCAAACAGGTTTCTCTGTCAGCAATGCTATTTGAGAGAACAATGTTTTATCAGTACTTGCATTTGTGCCAACAATGGAGTTGTTTGAGGAGTGACTGGGTAGGATTTCTCATGTTTGCAGTCTCATTCTCTGTCACATGACAGAATGTAAGTTGTTCAGGGCTTCTTAGCCAAAATTTGATAGGTCTTACAGAGCTAGAAGTTCTCACTACAAACTAATGCAAAGACATGGCTTACTGTGGGTCCTTTAGGCTAAGTGAAAGAACTGGAAAAGAAAAGAAAAAATATATTCCAGAGCAAGCATGAAAAACAGAAGGTTAAATCAAGCCCAGAATGGTCCACCAGTAACTTTCATTACAAAGCAACACACAGGAGAAGAGCAGGAGCATTAACTATTTATTTGCTGACAATTATGCTCTCAGGATGAGTCCACCTGGGAGAAGTTTCCTTTCTCATCTGGACAAACCCCTTCCATTTCCTGCTCCCAGCCTTTTTGCACTGTTCATTGTTACTATGTCCTGTGCAGGACAGGAAAGCCATGGTATATGCTCTACTGTTTTTCCACCTGTTTTGATCTGTGGACCTTCCAGTTTTGCATAAAGAGAAGTATACCAGAATTAAACCTATATAACAGCAGGAGAGCTGTTGTTGGTCACTTTACAAGGATCTCTCAGTCCACAGACTCCCAGGGCACCATGAATCACAGACTGAAGGCAAAAATACTGTTGACTTGTGTTCTTTGCAAGGAGTTTCCCTGAGTCACTTGTTGGAATTTGGGACGATCCCAGAGTTATGTTTTTCTCCAAGACACCTACAGAATTTGACCTGGCAGAATACTCCCTTGGCATGTATTAGGTAAGATGATTGTTTTCTTTAATTGGAGTTTTGAATAGCCTTTTTATATTTTAAAAAGTAACTTTATAAATATACATAAGGTAAGTCTCAAAGTAAGGCCACTGTGAGGTGTTTGTCAAGAAACATAGAATCTTGATCTACCAATGTAATAGCCTTCCCATAACACCACATCATCCTCACAGCAAAGTCTTCCCCCTTCAAATAGAATGGTGCCTGGTTTTTTCCACATGCAGCTTTCCACATCCCCATAAATCTCAATTCTGTTGCCATAAGTTATTTGAAAGAAGAAAAGCAATGTTCTCCTTTGTACCTCGGATCAAAACCAAACAGCCGAAGTAGAAGCAGCAGCTAAGGACTATGGAATATCACAAACATGATTTTAATCTCCTTCCTATTGTTCTTTATTTACACTGTTGGAAAAGAGATCAAAATCAGGTTCGCTTCCCTTTCATTCTACAGCCGTTCAGTTTTACAGCTCTCTCTAAACTTTCAGGTGTGTTAAACACCAACTCTGGTCACATTTTCTAATGCATTAGGTAGGAGAACAGGGGGATTTTTCAAGTTCAATATTTGTATTTACTCAATATCCTTCAGCTGAACTTCCTGAAATTTACACCAAGCAATATTAGTTACTGATCACTTTTTAATCTTGTCTCAGGGTATATCTGAAACACTAATTGCTTATTTTCAGCAGTTCTCAGTTATTAGGTTTTAATCCTGCAATTACTTTAAGGCACTCTAAAATAATGTTTTCAGCAGAGGTGGAATACAGAGTACTGCTGTAATGTTTTTGAACATGGGAATAATATTATTGCAATAACACTGGCTCCTTCTTTGTGATTTTAAGCCCAAAATTGGAATTTGAATTACTAACACTCAACTGTCATCTCACCATTTAATTAATCACCATGCTAGTTATCCCTGACTCAGTCATTCAGTAAAGCACCAACTCTGAACAAGATTCCTACTGGGAAACATCATCCTCAGCCAAATTTAAGCTCCAAAATTCCACCAGTGGGGGAAAAAGGAACAACCAAGTGCACAGGCATCAAGCAAGAAAGACCATCTGAGAAATGCAGCAGAGCTGAGATTCCTGAGAAAGCACACCTGGCTTTGTATCCAAAATGAAGGTGTGGTAGCATGTTCTCTGAAAAAGAGAAGCATAGATGACACTGCTATTCTAATTAAAGCTTTTATTAGGAGCAGCCAGGCAGTGCAAGCAGGATAGCAGGAAGAAGGGCTTAAAGTATTTAGAAAGCATGTTTAGTAAAGCCACTCTGGTTTGCACTGTGTATCTGGGCAGCCTCTGGGGTTTTTGTTACTGAGTGGCCATGGGAGCTAAGCAGCTTCCTTGGATGGCCAACCTGGGTTCAATTCCCCTCCTACTTCATCCCCACATCCCACTGCAGGTACCTGCCAGGGCAAGTGGGACTCAAGGGCTCCAGCAGATGAAAACTGAAAGGTGCTTAGCTCTGCCTGCTACTGGTTTTATCAGCTCTCCCTGTATCACAAGGGCAGAAAAAGGGAGAGTATTTACAAAACATCATCTCCTTAGAGCACATAGCTGAGTAATCCCAGCAGAAGCTCAGCAAGGGCTGCTCCAGCAGCACTGCCATGGGCAGGGGAGGCAAAGGTCCTCTAAGGGCACCACACTGGGGATCTGTGTGATGGCCTGGGCCACATTTCAAGTCTACTCACATGACTGCAGGTGTGCAAAAACATAACAAGGAACCATTAGCAGGCCAGTACTGTGCATGTGGAAACCACTTGATCTCCTGCCAAGTTCTACCTTTAAGCGATAGCTGAGAAGACCAAAGGTACTCTAAATTCCTTTCACTCCTTCATGAATATATATTCATGAAGTGCCCAGTGCCTTACTGGGCTGGCCCTACAGACTCCTTAGAGTGTCTCCCATGTGTTAGGGCATCTGGGCAGGCATGCTGTGAGGAAAGGCTACCTCCAGAGAAGGCAATAATGATGCCTACAGGAAAGCCATGCATTAAATTGTCATGCCAGCACCTATAAAAATGGTGGTTTAGAGCAATTTGCCACTGGGCAATGGCATGCATGAATACTCCCCTCATCAGGATGCAGTGTTCTCCTAGCAAATCTTTCTGTATTAACTGCTGCTCCAGTGGAAAGGTGTTTGTGATCAAAAAACATGGTCTTGGTTAGGAAAAAAATCCACCAAAATAACAAGTTTTATGTTATCATAAACCTAGATCCTTTTCCTCCCACAAAAACTTGTAGAGGAGAATTCCATCATATATTCAGCCATTAAGAGTGACTAGAGACAGAGCCAGGCATGGCTGAACTGCTAAGCCTTTTGAAACTCAGTATGTGCACCTACTTATTTACAGGACTGACTTAAGTACCAGTTTATTAATGGCAAGTAGTTTCAGCTGTAAGCTAATGAAAAAAAACAGGCTTTAAGGCAAGCCCATCAGAGGGGCTGAGATTCACCTGGTTGGATAGCAACACAATCCAGTAAAACATGCAGTGTAGGTGAAAAAATAATACTTCAACAAACACACAAGAATTTATCAGTACCAAGGCTCAGATTAAATGATGAAATACACATTTGTTAAGAAGGTGAGGCAAAGTCCAAGAAAAGGCGAAAACAGGCAAAGCAAAGTCCAAGAAAAGAGAAAACAAAAGGACAATTGTGCATAGAGCTGGACAAGAATAATAAGCCAAGGACAGAGACACGAAAGGTGTGGACCCAATTTACAAATCTTTCTGATTTGTCTAGCATAGGAAAAACTGGACCTCCATGTCTCACAAAACAAAAAGCATGCCAGGACATAGTCGGCATGGGCAGGATTTCAAATAAGGCATGGATAAATGGAGTGATGTTCCAGACACAGTGTCATCAGGTACAAACAAGGGCATGGGGGGTGCTAATGGAATTTGCAGATTGCTGTCCTCAGATCAGCACCACAAACCCAGTTCAGCTAGTTAATGTTTAAAAATTACTGCCTCCAGGTGGGTGTCCTATCTCATCTCTAGCCTGGGATACATATATTGCTGTTTTCAGGGCAGTTCCAACTGGATGGGCATATGCAAAATCTTAACCAGGTCCTGTGCCATCTCAGTGATTTGCCCATCCACCCTGTGAACACACTGGGCCACTCCACATTGGCCCTTTTCCCTCTCCTGTCCAACAACATTTCTGCAGGTGAGGAAAACCTCCAGTTTCAGATTACAGAAGTAACACGATTACAAAAACACAGGAACTAGAGCAATCAGGTAGTAAAAACCCCATAGCATATATGCTACTACTATGCATTACTCTGATATAGTAAGACTATGTAGTAAGACTACCACAGTTTCTAAATGTGAAGTTTAAAGAACTACACAGACACTCCTTGACTTCCATCTATTAGCAAACTGCAATAACCAGGTTCAAAGAGATACAGTGGAGTGGCATGCAAACAATCACTTGTCTTTTTCATCAATTAGTCATTTATCAAGCAACTTACCACAGTTATAGCATCATTCAGCAAAGACTCTCCAAACACCAGGATGTAAAGCTGCTCATTGACATGAATATTTTCAAAGACAGCTAACACTGCCACAGGATCCACAGCTGAAATGAGGCTGCCAAAGAGCAAATTCTGCAGCAAGGTGATATCAGTCAAACCAAATGCACTGATCTGGCAAATTCCATAAAGGGAAATTCCAATGCCGATGGCATTCCAGAGTGTGCCCACCACGGCGTACCAGAATATGGTACCAAAGTTCTCAAAGAAAAGACGAGTTGGCATAAAATATCCAGCGTCGAGTACAATGGGTGGCAAAAGATACAAGAAAAACACATCACTGTTCATTACAGGTGGGGACTTCTCCTCTGCTCCAAAAATAATCCCACCAAGAAGCAATCCAACCAGAATAAGGAGACAGCTTTCTGGTACTATTGAGGGCAACTTGTGATAGAGATGAAAGCCTTCAAAGGAAATTCAAACACAAGAAAGGGAAATGGTTATTTGTAGAGAATCCATCAGATTACTCTGGATTCTGTTATCTTAGTTTCTACAGCAAACAAACAGCAATTGCAGGGCAATTTCATTTTCATTGCAAAGACTAAACTGGGCATCCACAATAGGTCAAGGCAGGTATGTCAGCTAGTATAGTTAATTCAGCTAATTAGGAGGAGAGACAAATACATAGCTAGACATTCCACTTCAGAGCTAGGCTGGATGGAGCAACTGTGTGCAAGGGTTCTCTCTGTCAAACTGTGGGGAGGTTTTATAATGTGGAATCCTCCAGAAACACAACCCAAACACTTCTCTAGGGCAAATTACATCTCGATTACATCTAGACAGAGTCAAAAAAACCCCAAACCTTCATACTAACCACTCCTTCCTCCTTGGACAGCTTCACAAAGGAGTTTAAGGAGTACATTCATTTCATTTTTAGAAATCCTTGAGAGTTTCAAAGATAGTGAGGGGAACTATCACATGTGACCTGCACCCAGTCACCTATGGTGACTTCCCCAGCCACCATGAGAAAGCATTTACAGACACAGTTATTATTTTTAGTAGAGCCTCCAAATTAATTTCACGAGAAGCAACATGTTTTCCACAAAGCGACAAGAACTTGTAGCCTGCTCATTCTTCTGTATTATATGAATTGTGGCAGTGTCAGGATTCTCCCATAAAATCTGTGCAAAGTACAGAAAAACATGCATTAAAAAAAGGTTCTGAATGAGGATTTAATGGTCAACTGTTCCTTAGCCTACTAAAGCTCTCAAAACAGTACAGAAAAACATGCATTAAAAAAAAGTTCTGAATGAGGATTTAATGGTCAGCTGTTCCTTAACCTACTAAAGCTCTCAAAGCCATGCAGTTTTGATTTAAAGATTCCAATTGCTTCTAGAAGTTGGCTGTTGTCAGGATAATTTTGCTAATGAATGAGAAAAGTTTTGAAGGAACTTACTCTGGCCAATCTAATGGAACGATCAACCTTATACACCAAGGTCACATTCCAGGCCCTAGCAATGCCAATCTTTTCCAGACTCCTCCTTATCTATATTTGGCCCACATAATTATATAGAAATCTATCCACACCCACAAGATCCCACAATTCCTGCCTAACTAAAAAGCATTTAAATTATTTTAAATGCATGGAAACACTGGGTGTGGTAATAACGGGCGTCTATTTCAGTAAACCTATTTCAGTACCAATCACACCTGTAGTCGAAACAGTTAAACTAGTGCAGTCTTGGTATGGTTTACATCCAGTTTCCCATTTTCAGGCTTCTGTATCTTGTAACTCCTATTTTGTTAATCTTCTTTTCACCATGGATTTCAGGTAAAAGAAAGCCTGAATTTATAATGAGGAAAAACAAATGCTTAAGAAGGACCAAGAGGAAAGGTGTTTTAACACACTGACTTTTAACTTATACATTCTACAACTATTAAAGCTATTTTTAAAAGCAAGAAGCTCAAGATGTTTGTTTTTTTTTCTTTTGGATGAACACAGACTGCTTTAAATAATTAGAAACACAGCCTATGTGACTCATTAGAAACACTGCCAAATTCACTGTCATTCTTCGAAACCGGAATCACCAATGTCCTCTATTGGCAGAGCAGGTAATGACCCTGGAAGAAACAAGAATTTGTGGTTGGAGACCTGAGTCTTCACCTTTCAGCCCCTTCCACATAAACATTTCATGATTTATCTTAGTTTCTGCAGTGGCAGAAGACCAACATTACCAATACAGTGATGATGATGTTTCCCCTGAGCAAGCAGGTTTTGCTAAAAGTTCTTTTTAGTTTTGAGTTTTAAATCATTTCATCAATACAAATCGAAGAAGAGGGAATTTTTGGAAATGCAGCTTTTAATGAAAACAAAAGCAATCCCAACCAGTTGTAGCACAATGGCAACAAAATCTCTACTGTGAATACAAAAATAAAACTCTTTGCTTTTCTTCTTTACAAGTCACTCTGGGAAGCTCATAGCCTCTCAGAGATTTGGGACTCTGCCTCATCCTCAAAGGCAAAGGAAAGGCTCCCACTAAGTTAAATATGCTTTTTATCCATGTAGACAGCACCAAAACTCCTGAAGGACTGCCTGCCTCCATGCAAAGCACTCAAGGGTGAGCAGGGACAGGCTGTGGTTCCTGATTTGAGTGCAGAGGATTTAGTGCATGTCAAGTCAGGTGTAGGTGCCCTGCAGGATAAGGGACATCTTTCCTGCTCTGATGAATCCACAGCCACAGGGTCAGGAGCACCCTGGGAGCAGATCCCCTGCAGTACAGGAATACTCAGACTTTTATGCTGAATGCAGGACTACAGCTACTTTTTTCTCCTCTGACCCTGTTCTTGGGGCTCTAGACCAACTTCAACAATGTGGAAGGTGTTTACACCCATTAGGCAGTAGGACCTGAAGTCCAAGCTCAGTATTCTTTAAGCTAGAAGTCCTTAGAATCCTGGGGTTTGGGTGAATTCCAGTGCTTTCTGATGCTGGAAATGCCACTGAGACAAGTACCTCTGAACAGCCTAAACCTTTTTTTCAGGAGAGCAGTGTTGGAAGGATATCAGCTCAGTTCCCAGAAGAAACACTTCTCATCATTGCATTTGTGATTAAAGGTAGGAGTAATGGGAATCCAGATCGGTTACACAACATTTTGAGGGTTAATATTATCAAAATTAAGCAAACCTGGGGGATAAGTAGACTAGTTTCACTGCTTAGAGACTCCAGCACACTTCAGGTGCAACAGGTCCCACCTAGTATACTCATGGAGTCCATCAGCATGTGAGTAACACACCTCTATGGCATCAAAACACAAAAAATAAGTAGAGGTAGTCAAAATAATTCAAGTCAAGGCAATTTGTTAGATTTCAAAATGTGGCCTTGTTCTATGCTGGAATAAAAAGCACCATATTTCCGACATCTTTGTAAAAAGGTACTGGTCAAAATGTTCAAGTTCTCCTTGACAAGTGCAGCTTTTCCTTTCTTATGCTGTCTTTCTTGCTCCCTCTAAACCTAGCCTACAGTGACATGATCACAGCCAGGACCTGTGAAACCTTTCAGGTAAATCCCCTATAAAAATTAACAAGTGCTGGAACGTTTCAGCTCCAGTGAAACTGCACTTCTGTGAAAGCATATTCGTTAAAAGACTCACAAGCAGCTGCTGCAGTTGAGTTTTCTTTGGGATCCTTCACACTCTCAGAGAGCTGTTATTGCATGCAACCCTATCTTCTGAGCTCCTCACACTGAAAGGACCTTAGGGCTCTGTTCATAAAGGTTTGCTGCTCGGCAGTGCCAAGTGTAAGCATTCAGTGCCTAGCCCCAGAAAGGAATTTGCGATGCCAGATTAAGCACCGAAGTTTCCTGGGCAGTGCAGGAGTCTCGAGGTGGATTTCATGCAACTTGGCATGACAGCAGTGAGATGCCTATGCTGCCCAGCAGGAAATGATGGGGAGAGGAATGCACCAGAGAGCCTCCCCTCTCACAGAGCTGCTCTCAGGTCTACAGACGGTGAGCTGGGCTGAAAAACCCTTCTCCATCCCTTTGGATAGAGACACATGGCCCACCTCCAATAACCCAGCAGGACATGGCACAGCAACATTTCTTGGTGGTTCAAGAACTGCCCAGCTGGGCTACCTTCAACAGGAAAGAAGGCACAAGCCAGTGAAAATTTGATATGGAATGTGACTTAGTAGCGATGGGAGCCTGACCTGGGAAGGTTTACCTGATGCACTTGCTGGATAAGGAAGCACAGACAGAGCTCCAGGAGCAAGAACTGGATGTTCCTAATTCCAGTCCCAGAGTCAGGGCGCCTGCAGATAGGTGTGGTGAAGCTGAGCATTGCCACACCTAGGGCCACTCCTGACTCTGGCCCTCATTGCTCTGCGCACCCACACTGCCATGCCCTAGATTAGCCACACTTGCTTTCGTTTGCTGTAACTGAAGGGATTTAAAAATGATGTGCCTTTTTCTTCACCTATGCTGTTTGCTTGCTTATTGACTGCAGTCAGACTAGAATTACCCAGGGAAATTTTAATGGGGTTTTTTTGGGTCCCTTTTAGATGCCAGTGCACTACCAAAATATCATGATAGTCAGAATGTATGGCCCTATAGAAATCATACATTATTGTGTCTCCATGTGTGCTTGCATGTTTCAAATGGCTTCCCTGTAATCTTTAATAAAGCAGAATTTTTTCACTAGTTTTAGCTTGTTCAAGAGTTCTTGCTGTATCTAAACTCAGAGCAATTTTGCAGTACTCAACTGGCTAAATTCTCTACCAAACTCCCTATGTCCTGGATTTTACAGTTCATTATATACTCGAGTGTGTCATAGTGGAACTCTGTCCAGATTCTGCAAACATCTAAGTGCATACTCAAGACTAAACATGCATCTTTAATACATTAAGATACACGTATCAAGATACAATGGATGCAACACACAGTATTTTTGCTGGAAGTAATGATGCCATAGCAAGTTGCCTGGGATCAGGCAATTACAATGTTAGCCATGGCAGGAGGTGAGTACAAATTGCTGGTTCTGCAGAATCCCAATTACCTGAGCACCAACCAATTACAAGCCATGGCAGGAGGTGAGTACAAATTGTTGGTTCTGCAGAATCCCAATTACCTGATCACCATCCAGAATGTGACACAGTATATGTAAACATAGCAAGCAGAAGTCAAAGTTTTGACTCCGATCAAAATGTTTGATCAGAATGAGTACAATGATAGTTTCTTATGGAAATCTGTGCTGCAAAATCAGAGTTCTGAATCAAAGCCATGGCAGGAGGTGAGTACAAATTGTTGGTTCTGCAGAATCCCAATTACCTGATCACCATCCAGAATGTGACACAGTATATGTAAACATAGCAAGCAGAAGTCAAAGTTTTGACTCCGATCAAAATGTTTGATCAGAATGAGTACAATGATAGTTTCTTATGGAAATCTGTGCTGCAAAATCAGAGTTCTGAA